TGCTAAAACTAAGACTATTTCCCCCCAGAAGTTTTGATTTCAGTGCTCCAAGTTCAAAAATATTTTAAGTTCACTTTACATTGTTAAAAAATTTTTTTTACAGTTTTATTTTAGTTCAGGTTTAGTGAACTATAATAACTTTGGTCACAACACCATCTTGTGGCACAGAGTGAGTATTACACAAGAGTGCAACATACTGTTGATTGACCACGACACGATAAGGAATGAATGTGAGGAAGCATTTAGATGTCAAAAAAGTGCCTGTATGAATGTGTGTGAGTGGATGAATGACATGTTGTATGAAGGTCTTTAAGCAGAAAGCAGTATATAAGAGCAAGTCCATTTACCATGTTGATTGCTGTAGTTATTTTAGTGAATTTTTGATCAATTTCTTAAAGATGGGAAATTAGAAACAGGGAATTGTCAAAACCGAGTTAAAGGCATCCTGATTTTGTCATTAGCATAGCTGAAGCTCCTGAGTATGTCCTGCAGCTCCCATAACAGCACTCAGCGCTATCTTTTCAAATACAAGTTTTTTTAAACTAATTCAGTTTGATAACCACGCTGACATTGTAGTATGTTTTATTCTATGGAGCAGAAGTGGCACCTCAGGCCGCTGCTTTAGCCACACATCTACTGCCCTCAACCACACAAGAGCGCTTCCTTCTTGCCCTCTGACTCAAGACGTCAGCTGAGATTAAGCACCACCACCCGTGATGTGTTCCAGAGCTGAAGGAAGCTCGGGGTGAGATTGTTAGACGAAGCCAGACTGAACACAGATCAGCCATCTGTGGCAAACATGCAAGGCTGATGGCGAGGAAAGAGTTTCCCGAAGACAACAGAAACAAATTTTTATTTTTATATCTTTATTTTTCAGACATTTTACAAAACACTTATTTGCTGTCTCGATAGGATGCAAGAAGCCCAATACTGCCTTCATGTCTATCCTCAGTATGAAGCTAGAACTAGCTGGTTTAGTATGAAGTGGTACCGGGGGGGGGTCTCCAAAAAGGACGGTTTACGTGCATTTAACCAAAGCCCGCTCACTGGTTCAGTAGAACTCATAAAACAGAAACCAGAGCACTTCCAGTCCCATTTTGTTGTCAACACGAACAAATAAGGTTCCAGTAAGGATGGCTTATCTCTTTCAACCATCTGAATGCACCCAATGATGAAACACACAGACTCTAGATTCCATATTTCTCCTTGAGTTCCTCCACCAAAGCAACATATTTGGCCATTGCTTCCTCTTTGGACAGACCTGTTGATCAGGAAACAGACACAAAGGAGAAAGTAGTTTGTTACTGCACGAAAAATGTGACATTGCTGAGATTTGTTTTCAAAGGCTTCATATCTCTGACCTTTCCTTGCATTCCATGCATCCCACTTTGCTTTTCCTGTAAAGTCAAGGAACCCTGGACGCTCTGTGAAAATAAAAGTAACTGTGAGTTAGTCACATATACATACATACACACACACACACACATCCATACAATACTATACACAAACACACAACACACCACACAACACCGATATATATATCGCGTACTGACGTAAATTACTGGATCGGATATCGGAGAGAAATAAAAAATGTAATCCGATCCATTAAATATCAAAAAAGCACCTCACAAAACTTGCGACATGGCGTAACTCGGCTCATAACCTTAGCACGTCGCAGCAGTATGCTCACGTGATAGAGCGGCTGTGTGTATTTGGAGCCTCCCTACCAAACTCAGAGGAAGTTATCCCAGAGAGAAGTAAAGCAAGTGTGTAAGTTCATCTCTGAATGTTTGTAAAGCATTCCCACGTTAAGCTTAAGTGAAGGGACTGCCTCTTCTCTCTCCCTCCCTCTTCTGCTGCTACTTCAGTCATGAAACTGCTTAATGATCTGCTTTTTTGTCACTACTCCCGTTTCTCTTGTTTGTTTTTGGCCCACTTTGCACCAGAAAGAGGAAACCAGCGGCTGAACAGCAGCAGCACGTTTAAGTTTGATAAGCTGTTGTTAGAATTTATTTAATATTACTTTGTACACCAGGATCTTTTTCTACGTAGCTGACGGCTATGCAGGGGCGGATCTAGCAAAGTTTAGCCAGGGGGGCCGGTAGGGCATTAACAGGGAAAAGGGGGCACAAAGACATACTTTTCTTTCTTATTCTCATTTAAAATGTCCAGCTTTTAATAAATAATTATCAGAATCTTACACCCAAAGTTTTAATCTGATGTAAAATGTATAGAAGTCCATTATTGTATATAGTAACTGTTAAGTCTAATGTACCTTAGTAAGCTATAGTACTTTTTCCTTTGGGAAGATACCATCTGTGCAGTCTGAATTTTGTTGAAGAAAGATGTTGAATCTATTTAATATTTCTTGAAAAATAATTGATTTCTGTGCATTTTTTTTCACACTGCATCAAATTAAAGTTGATTACGTCGATTAAGCATCATGAGGTGGAGCGTGGGGGGTGGTTCCCTATTTTTTATTTTTTTTTTTTTGCTGGGAGTTGTGCAACCCTATTAGTTAGGTTGCTTAATATTTACGCTAAGTACTCTTTAAAATACCAGAATAGGAAGGATTGAGTAGGTTTAAGTTTATTAGATTGATCAGTTTTGCTGAACTATGAAATATTTTGGGTGCAGTGTATTTTTTTTACATACAGGTATAACAGAATAGCGTTAGTGTTGTTGTTTATTTAAACTTGAGTATGAACTTATACAGCAAGATATTAAAAAACAGTTTTATTGATTAAAAAACACACTATATCGGATTCATATCGGTATCGGCAGATATCCAAATTTATGATATCGGACATAAAAAAGTGGTATCGTGCCATCTCTAATACACATATATACACATATATACACATATATACACACATACACACACACATACACACACACATACATATATATATATACATATACATATACATATACATATATACATACATACATACATACATATATAGCAGTGACAACACTGATGGAGAATAAAAACATCAGCATAATAAATCCTTTAAGGTATCAGGGGTTTAAAAATATATATATCGTTTGGGATATACATCAGAAGTTTAGAAAAAAAAAACTTGTGGGAAGTTATTCAGCAAATCACGCAGAACTCGTCAAACCTGATTTTTCTCAGTACCACCCGTCTCCGCTTTCGCACATGCAGTTAGTGGCTCCATATGTCTAACACACACACGCCACTGTCACGCTACTCACCTGTGTTAATATCACCAACTGTAGCTTGCTTATATAAGCCGTACAGATCGCCCATTTCTTGCTGGTTTGGTTTCTGCTTCAGAACCTTCACCTCCTCCACCGCTTTGTCAAAGGCGTCCTGGTTAGGACAAGTCACAGCATATCCTCAGATCATATCCACTCGCCCATCTTCACTATCACCTGAATGCTCTTCTCAGTAACCAGGAACGAGTTTAAACTTAACACCTCGTTACAACTACAAGAACCTGTCGAGCTAAACGGTCTGGTTCCTGCCCCCCCACCAAAAAAAACCCTCTTTCCAGTCCCTGTGATTTATACGTAAGTCAACATTACAGAGAAATCACTTAGAAACAATGTTAATATTTTAGATAAGATTCCAGGAAAGTTTTAAATACTAAAGAGGTCATACTTACAGTCATGACTGCGGTGAAACTGGGGCACACCTTTGCTCCTGTTCAAAGGCCTGCTCGTCCAACTCGCTGCAGTTGTGTCAGCTGTGCTGTGATTTGCTGAGAGAAAGGAAGTGGGAGGGTTTATGGGATTTCTTAGGAGGGGGTGCGGAGGGGGGTTTGATATTGATTGGATACCAAGTAAATACAGTCACTGTTGTCAGTACCGATACCAATCCCGATACTTTTAACCTATAAAGGCAGTTTACAGTCATGATTTATGAGACTAATCGTCATCAATTTGCTAATTCTAGGCACATTTTAATGACCACTAGATCACTGTGATTTTTACTTTCATCGATAACTAGTTGGTAAAACACACCTTTATGCTTATCATGTGTTTCGAAACTTGGTGACCTGGAATGTAAACATATCTGTCACTGATGCACTAAAGTAGACATGACAATTAAAACAAAGTATTGATTGTCATTTCATAGTGTGTGTTTGAGGCGTGTATTTTTAATTTCCATAACCAATTTTTTTAACAGATATCAGTGGACAACATGCTGATCTTGAAGCATAGAAACAAAATATCAATCAGATACTAATACCAGTGTCAGTATCGATACTTGTACTGATACTTATAATTGGATCGATCTATCCACATCTGTGAGATATTTTACACCCACTATAGCAAACCTATATATATTATACTTATAAACGTTCCAACAAAAGATCTAATCGTTACATGTCAAGGGAGTGGTTTTGTGTGACAGTAGAAAAAGTCACCACAAGAGGGCAGCACGCAGATATTAATCTATGTGCGCTTCTTCCAGTCAGTCCTGCTGAACAGACCTGTTGTAGCGCACGATCTGATATCCTCGTGTTGGTGTTGTTCCCAGATCATCATACTAAATGTTGTTCCAGGATCAACATTGCAAGTGACCAATCAGAATGTTGTGACGTCATACTTTTGCGACTTCGGGAAAAACCGGCGTAAAACAAAAAACTGTACTTAAGCTGCGTGAAACCGCCTCTGTCCGCCGATCAACGGACCCTGACCCTAACCCTAACCGTAACCCTTTAATAAACAGTAAGCAGAATTGATATTGTCCTTGCAACATTGGAATTTCATAAATGCACGAATGGCTTGGCGCGCAAAAGAATAACGTCACAACAATGTGATTGGTCACTTGCAATGTTGAACCTGGAACAACATTTTCATGATGGTCTGGGAACAACACCAACACGAGGATATCAGATCATCCCTGTTGTAGTGGTCCAGCTTCATCAGCAGGAAATGTGGATTTAAAGGCATATTTTAGTTATGACGGCAGAGTAAGGTAAACACACATAGAAACTCAGTACCTGGCCACTTTATTAGGTAGTTTGCTGTTGCATGGTTAGACTCCCTGTTGCCATCAGCACTGGCTTGATTCTTTGTGGCACAGATTCAACAAGGAGCTGAAAACATTACTCTGTCAGCAGGTTGTTTATGATGTGACTCTCCCTCTCCACTACATCCCAAATATCCTCTACTGGACTGGGATCTGTTGACTGAGGAGGCCATGAAGTGGGGGAAAAAAATCCAAAGGACAAGTCGTGCAAGACAATAGAAAAAGTCACCACAAGATGGCAGCAAGCACAAAATGACATGTTCGGCTGTGTGTGTGTGTGTGTGTGCAGATTTGGTGGCATTAAGTGTAATATTTAAAACATGAAGATGGTTTATTTGAATCCAGAAGTTAATCTAATCTGAAGAACTCCAAAAACGACGACAAACACCAGAGATGTGAAAGCTCGCTCTGTCATAGAAAACTTTATTCCATGTTTTATAAATTAACACTTGAAATCATCATGTTGTCACGATGACAGACACAGACTTAACACATCCAGCATATAAATGAAAATCTCTGGCAAGAGCAGAAAAATGAGAGTGCACGTAGGGCTGATGTACAAAGGTGTTGTTTTGAGAGTTTTTTTAATGAAGAAAAAATTGGTTGAAGAGTCAAAACTTCCTTTTTAATCCGTTTTTATATTTCCGCTCCGCCTTCTCCGTATGACAGATTATTTAGAACATGTGAAAGACTTCATTTTGTGCCACGCTTCCTAAAAGAGCAATACACCTGAAATTGCATTTCTTTCTACATGCAGATATATCCACTTAAAATGAATCTGAGTTCTATTTTCAATAGAAACTATTTTCAATCAGTTTGGTGTGTAACAAGTATTAATGTCACACGATGCTTGGTTACATTTAAACTATGGCCTCTTACCTTACCCAATATAAGCTAGCTGTACCTTAGTTTAGTGTCAGGACTGTCACCTGACATGAAGTAAGCTTAAATAAATAATTTCTTATTTAGATTTATCCAGCTCCAGTTGGATAAACAGTAAAACAGTGAATGACAGTAAAATATTGTAATACAGCTTCTTAACTGAAATATTACTGCCTGTGTTGGTGTTTACTTCATCAGAGTGGGAGAAAAAAAAAAGCAGCAGAAACATCTGACATTTTACATCTGAATAAGTCAGAGGCCGTGGTGAGATTCCCCTGAGCGAGATGGCAGCAGCAGACGTGCATCTCGCTGGCCTGGATGCTGCATCTACGTGCATCGATCTGGAAAATGAGCAGTTAACACCTCTAAGTTACGACAAGGCAGGCGGCTGATCCGTTTGAGAAAATGGCTTAATTCAAACATACGCACTCGTGTCAAATATTGTGAAAAATAGTGATTATGATGATATTCAGTGTTTAAATATTATAGTTTAATATTTTCCTGTTGCAGTGTTTCTCTGTAAAGGAGAGGATTCAAAACATAGTGTCAACTCTGGGAAGGAGTTTTTCTTTGAGATATGCCTTTCCCAAAACAAATAGTTTTAACACAGTGCTGATCACTGTCAAGGGAAGAAAAGGAGAAATTAGAAAAGAAAACCTTCAAATGACTTCAAATAGAAACAGATCTGTACAGCACCAAATGCTCCTAGAGAGGAATGCAGACAGCGTGAGGAAAGCCAAGCGCACTTCTGATGCTCATAGTAAACCTCATTTAAGCTCGACTATCAGCTGTAAGGTTACAGAGGCTGTTTTGATTGCATGAATACTGCTCTTCAGTTTTGGATTAACAGAAAAGAGATCGATAAAACACTTTAAATGTCAACTAAGTAGTCTAACTACCAATGCATCGAGCAGTAAAGGTGGCACCACCGCTCTAAAAATCTCAAAGAGTCTTCCAGCTAATTGTTGAAGAGGATCCTCTCTGAACCCCCTCAAAAGGCCAGAGATGATCCTCCAAAGTGCTCAAAGAGTATATAAATCTTTTATCCTCCATGTGCTTTATATTCATGAGTCTGGGTTTTCCATGCACGCTGCTGAAAACGGTGCTTCTCACACATTACTGACATTCTCCAGCCCGTTGCGGCAGTCGTCGTCTGGCAGGATGAAGCGGATGTGCCGGCTCTTCTCCCAGCCGCGGCGGATCTGCCCGAGCCGGTGGCCCACGCAGGGCAGGAAGAGGGCCACGCGGCCCAGCAGCACCGCGAGGGGGAGAATGAGGACCAGGAGGAAGGTGGGAGGCATGTAGAAGTAGTACTGGGCCGAGAGGAAGGCGCGGTTCCAGCCGAAGATGAGGGTGTGGAGGGTAGCCATGGATAAGGCGCAGTAGCCGAGTGTGGACTGCAGGAGACAGAATAAAGGGGATAATACCTTTAATAAAATCTTACAACACTGATTGCATTTTTTTAGCTTCCTTGTGTTGACAATTAAAAAAATGCAATATTAAAATCGCTGTTTCCATCATAGATTTAAAAATGAGCTACATTTTAGTTAGCACACTTTCTAATCGAACTCTACTGGAAGTTTCTTCCTGTCAAAGGCGAATTTTTCCTCCCCAATGTTGCCAACTGCTTACTTATATGGTGGTCGTCTGACTGTTGGTGTTTTCTCTCTGTTATTGCAGGTCTTTACCTTACTTAATATAAAGCGCCTTGAAGCAAATGTTGTGATTTGGTGCTATATAAATAAACTTGAATTGAACATTTGCGTATACCTTTTAAAGGTATATACTGTATATACCTTTCAGCATTCATGGTGCCTTTACAGACGTCCAAGCTGCCAATCAAATAGGCACTGAAACACTGCCGTACCATCAGTCATGCAGGCTTTTGAACCGAGTGCTGATAAAAAGCCGGGTAGTTCTGCTTTGTATAAAAGAGCTTAGGTCCTGAGACAGCAGCAGCATTTCTGAATCATGTTAACATACGAGTTCCTCTTTGTTTGACAGAGCTTTAAAGTGTTTCTGAGCTCATGCATTCATTTCAATGACAGACACGTGTCTGTTTTATTGCAGTGCCTCCCGAGGGCCAAAGGATCACAGGCATTAATAAATGATTTGTCCCTCACATACAGAGACTCTGTAGATGATGAGATATTCAAGGACTTCATAAATTTATGTTAAGGGATATTATTCTAAATTATTCTTGTTCCACAATTCGTAGATGCAGTTTCTTCGCAGATTAATGACACTCTGCCAACCTTTACTTCTAATAAGCTGTTTTTAGTCGCACTCATGTTGATGACCTGTTGCCAGTGAACCTAATTAGTTGCAAAAAACATAATAGATTTATTGAAGCTGAAACTTTTTACAAGGGATATCCCTGAAATTTTAATATAATTCAATTCAAAAGCAAATACGTAAAAGAAAAAGAGTGGTGGGATGGTCGGCAACAAAGACTCATGTAGCAGTAAGGGTTAGGCACTAGAGGCTGTTTTTGACCGTAAAACTCATCGTGCAAGGGCAGACGGGAGGGTGAGGGGTCGTCAGAGAGCCAAAGCCAACAGCCAAAGGCGGCTGCAGGTTTCTGCTATGAATCCTTCCACAGGTTCAGCAACAGAAACAGTGCTCTCCAAGTGTTCCTGTAGTCAGCTCAGCTCGAGGCGAATTAAACACCAAGTGAGTTGCAATGGCAAGAGATGAATAATTTTCTATTTATATCATGTGACGTCCTGCAAACTTCAAAGTTTGCTTGAGTTTATCCTCACTGCTGAAAGCAATAACAAATTTATGGAAACATGCAGGTCAGGGTGGTCTTCATTCGGTGCTTAAACACACAAACACACATACTAAAAATTAAACCATAAAAAAACACATTATTTTTAAACCCAGAACATTTTATTTGCATTTGTGTCACCTAAAACAGTGATTACAAAGTGTGGCCAGCCCTGGTGGACTGTAACGGTACTGCAGGCAAGCCACGTTAATAACAAACAGTCCCGATCAAAAGATGTTTTCAATAAATTGCATGCTCAAAAATATGTTTTGTCTCACTCCCATTTCTTCTAGTTGCATGTGAAGCTCTACTTGGAACCTTGTTGAGATTCAACCATGCAAAATATAATTTTTTGCCATTTTTCAAGTGCTCTTAAACTTTTGATCGGGACTGAAAGTCAAAATTCCTTACGCATAGGTTTATTTGTTTGTTTTTTTGTGCGAAATTAACATAAAGGCTGCCATGATCCATTGTAACACTGTTATCTTACAGCTAATTTGCATCTGCAATCCCTTGGCAGGTTACATATTTACATACATTTATTTATTAAAAAAGGGAATTTAAACTGGTAATAGGAGGTGGTTAGCCTGAGATATTACTCATTACTATGACCTAAATTTACTGCTCTTATATTGAAGTTAGTGTCCCAGTGGCAGGTGGGTCACACATTGGGCTTAACAATTTGCATATGCCTGGGTAACAGCAGCAACTTATAAATGGACTGGTTTACATATAGCATTTTTCTGCTCTACCCGAGAACTCAGTGTACTTTACATCTAAAGCACCTAAAATATTAGCCAGCTGAGAACTGATATAGCAACTCAATGCCACCACAATTGACTATATAATCTATATAAATTAAACACCTAGATCACTCAACGGTTCCTTAACTGTCCAAGAGCGCCCACATTGAAGCAGAAACTAAAAATAGACCCCAAAAACAGGGTTCTGGATACTTTGACAGTTGCTAGCTCTGACAGTGTTTATGCATTAAAAAAAAAAAAAAAAGGAGAGAGAGAGAGAAAAAAAACAAAAAACAAAAACAAACTAATTGTGCACCCATGCTGTTGACAACAAGTCTAGAAGTGCTTTAATCGCACAAACTGTTGACATGTGACTAATCTGAAGGCCACCGAATTAAAGGAAGATGAAATGGGAAAAGTGGCACAAACTGGAGGCCATTGGGGGGGGGGGGGTTAAGGAGAGGAGGAAGTGTGTGTACAAACTGAGTCACAACCCTCCTAACGGCTTTGTCACAGCACAAGTTTAACAGCAAATCTGGGGCAGCTGCGGGACTGCAAACACTAAGAGTCAGTGTTTGTATATGTGTCTTACTGCCACACATTCACTATGTGGTGTAAGAGACACAGCGTGCATCTGTCTGCACATCAGAGTGACGCCTGTCTGTTCGTATGCGTGCGACTCAAACGTCCTGCCTGTCTCCAACGTCTTTGACCATCATCCTACAAGCACGGAGAACAAAACCATTTGACAGCACATGCTAGCATGAAGTATCTGGCTGAAGTATGTGTGGGTGCGTACCTGAACGAAGGTGAACTCCCTCCAGTTGACAGTGTTGGCCACTGAGGGCAGCGAGGTGACAGCCAGCAGAGAGAGCAGCCCGAGAGCCATGATGCCCACAGACAGGTACAGCTCCATCCTCCAAACTTCCTCCCCAACCCACGAATCTGGGTGGCCAGCATTCACCTGCGTAACAAGCAACATTGATAGACATGCAGTCAATGCAAGGGTAACAGCAACATATTCAAGAGCATGACAAAAATGTGAAACTGACAACTGCCTTTTCAGATCCTTTAACTCTCAAGTGCTAAAGAAGTGTTGAAGAAAAGCACTTAAAAACACGATGCAAACACCCTTCAACCATGTTCTGATTGCTGATGTTGCATAGTTTGTTCATTAGGGGGCGCTTTGTAACTTGCCACAAACAGAGCAACCAGCCTACCTGGGCAGATAATAACCGAGTAATCAATGACTATCTGTTATTATAAATAAATAAGGAGGTTTATGAATGTTTCGTGTGTTAGAGCCCTGACTTTAGCTCAGGAGATGAAGCTTAAGGTTACAAGGAAGATTACATCTTATTAAGATGCAGATGGTGTCACTTCTTTTGCATTTTCATTTCTTTGGTGAAGAGGACTCCTCGTCCAACAATAAAGCGTAGGCCTGATGTAAGATGCAGACACAAATTTAAATGTCCCCTCTTCAGCACAAAATGCCTATGAGTTCCCTTCTCCTCTGCCTTGGGCATATTTGGCTAGAGACTAGCACAAAGGGAGACGTCTTTCCTGGTCATTGTATTCAAATGTGATGGGGGAACATTGTTCCTTCCACAAACCGCACACCCACTGCTATGTATTTTAACAGATTAAATATAAGTTTACCAGAATACATCCGTTTGTTGGAAAATTTAATTACAGACTATGTATATTTATTCTGTCCTGTTTGTTAGACTCATGGAATGTCTGAACCGACACCTCTCTTCTTCTTCTTCATCATCTAACCTGTTCATAGGCCTTGTTGATCAGCTGGAAGCGGGCGGACTTCCTCATGGGAAGACACAGGCTATAAATCGCATGTAGAACTGCACACAGGAAGCTGCACAGTCCAAACTGCTTCCTCTGGATCAACCAATGGTCCAGCCAGTTAGGAAAGCGGTTGTACTTGGTGCCCCACCACAGCTGGAGGAAGGCGGCAATCAAACCGGGCAGGTAGACCAGTGATAACATCACCAAGGCGACACATGGGAAAGTGATATTCACAATCTCAATGGGCAACTTGTATAAATTGTTCTTCTTCGCAGTCACATAGGGATGCAAGACATCACGGACGGAGTTATACAGGTAGAAGAAGACAAAGAGGGCCAGAGCGCAGATGATGGGAGCGCGCCAAGATGGAAACAGATACAGCGGGAGGTTTTCGATCTCTAGTGAAGAGGAGAGGAGGCCCATGTCAACAGGGATGAAGCCCATCCTGAGGCAAAGCTGCATCACAGAGCTCTTGGCATTTTGATCATCACTGCAGAGGAAAACCTGGAGGAAAAGACGACATAAAGACAAACATGTTTAGAGGCTAGAAACTGATTTCATTTGAAACCGCATATACCACCAGACCTCCATGAATGCGTATAGTCTTAGAGTGGTGATGACGTCCCCTACCTGTCGGCTCCCATCCCGTGGTCCTGCCTGTAGCGTCCAGGCCGATATGGTATTAAACCCCTTGACCACATAACTCTCAGGAAATAGATCAGCCAGCTGTTGGGCATTGGAAGGCCCTTCTTGCTTGATTTGCAAACCGTTGCTGACATCCACGAGAGTCTTTCCAGCTAGTGCTGGCTTCAGGTGGACCAATGTAGAGTGGTGCTCAGGGTACACGGCAACAAAGAGCAAGTCTGCTTGGTTTGCAGCCTCCATCTGCGAGGTCACCTGACGGACAAAGACAGAAACGTTCACGCTCGATATCAAAACTTTCCCTTATATTTAGCTTGTTTCATTAGTTGATTTCCTAGTATTGTTAAATACAGCCTGGTCAAATATTAGTAAAACGTAGCATAGCACAGACCTCTGCCTACAGTATTTACACTAAGCATCTCCTTGACCCTAATACATATTTGGCTCTAAAAACATACCTCTGAACGCGACAGATAAATTGTATGTTTGAATTAAAACCCTGTAGCTCACCGCTGTCAGTCTCAGTCGAATGCTTTGCACAGTTCCCATTAACCACAAACTATGTTTACTGAAAACCACCATGAAAGAAAACCAAAAAAAACCCATCCAAAAAGCTTTATTGGGATTATTTGAATTTCAAACTCCAATAAGCCAGGAAGTCCTTTCTTGCAGCTTCCAAATGAATAAATAGGCAGTAATAATATATGCTATTACAGTTCTGTTTAAAACTCTTCACCAGACCTTCTTGTAGTTATTAAAAGCAGTCTTAAGCAAGAGTTCTCCAGATTTTCTGAATGTCTATCAAACCGTTTCTTTGGACACTGGTCGATGACATTATGAATTTAAAGAAGTTTAAAAAGCATCTGAATGGCAACAACTTCATTTGACAGCAATGATCCCAAACACAGTGCTAAACAATGCTTGAAAAGAGGAACATACAATTGAACACAACAGTCATGGTCTCGTGTCACGGTTTGGGTGAGACATGAGACCATGGCTAAATGGATCTACTGTAATTTTAGTCAGTGCTGTTTTTGGCAGTGCAACAATAACGTCTATGACAATCATGGAGTGTCTCCCCAGACCTCAACATTATTGAAGCAGTGTGGGATCACCTTGACAGTGAGCAGATGAAAAGGTAGCCAACATCCAAAGAAGAGCCTTGAAAGTCCTTAAAGAAGGCTATTTAAAGAAATGACAAGAAAGCTGCAGGGTTGTTTTTTGTTTTGTTTGTTTTGTTTTGTTTTGTTTGTTTTTTGGGGGGTTTTTGGGGGGGGAGGGTGTAGCATTACTAGGATGAATGTATGTGTGTGGTTTTTAAGTGTGCTTTGACCATGTATTAAACACTCCATGTGGCAAAGGAGTATATCATTACATACACATCTTACTTAAATTCCCAAGTGCTATTTCTGACCCTATATTCATACATGAGCTTTTAAGGCAACGTTAAAGGTTATTCAGCTGTTACACATTTTCATCACATGGCTTGACTCCAAAGAAGAATTGACCCTTAGATTTTTTTTTCCCCCTGTGGCTTCGAGGTGCCTATACTGAGCTGAAAACACACTAGTAAAAGGCTCCACACTGGTGACAGTAGTGGAAGTGGATCTAGTCAAATAGTGTGTGAGACCTAACATTGACATGAGACCATAACTCGAGCAATCTTATGGATTTTAGTCAGCAATTTTTTGGCAGAGCAACAATAAAGTTTACAACATAGCCCAACTCTAACTTCCAGATCCTATAAAAGACAGGTTGATTACTGAGCATGAATTCTAGGAGGCACTAACACTAAATTAGCGAAACAAATGATAAGGGGATATTGGACCTTGGTGCAGCCTTTCATCTCAATTTAAGCCAACCTTTTTCTGATTGGCTGCCCTTCACTAACAGAGGGGTTTTAACAGCAGCTGAGTGAGGCTTTCTGCTCTGACTACCAGAGTCACTCACACCCCATAAGAGTAAAGACAACTGTGTTAAAATGAGCCTTGAGAGAAGACTTAAATTGAAGCTGTTGGCTGAGAGGGATTACTTGAACGCATTTGATAGAAGCCATTGTAAGCATGTGAAAAACATAACAATAGCACTCTCTGTTCCTCATCCATATTTGTATGCCTGTGGTGAAGACACCTTAAAAAATGATTCAAGCTGCAGATGGGAACTTAATCAGGGGCTGACAAGAAGTCATCTTGTGGTGCAAATGTATTGTGGCGCAGGCTGATGGATTGACTGCTGTATGCTCCTCCCATACTGCCTCTCATCTTCTTCTCTCAATCAACTGAGATTATTTAGTAGCTATGTTTATGAGGTAAAGCAACAACATCCATTATCACTGCTGGGGGAAAAGTCAAAGGAATGTATAATTACCACCAGAGGGACGGAAACAAAAACACCAATTACACTGTGAGTGTGAACGTGAGTGTCAGTGTCGCTGCATATGTCACCTCCGCCTCTTCGGGGAACAGAGCCGTGAAGCGCGCGGGGGTTCGGCTGCCCACCACAACCTGATAGCCGGAGGCCACCAGCCTTCTGGCCAGAGAGCGGGAGAAGTCGCCGGTGCCCAGGATGCCAATCAACAGGGTGCTGGGCGTCATCATGGAGGCTTCAAGGTGTCTGGAGCCCCCAGCTCTTTCTCGGATTAAAGGCCTCGCCATATCATCAGGCATAGTGCACTGACAAACCAGCAGAGAGAGCAGCAGATGAGACCTAAAACAAACATGAATCTTAATAACAGAGTTACAACAGGTTGAATTTAACGGTAGCTTTCTAGCTGCACCTTTGCAGAGCACAGATGTCTAATACCCATTATCTGTGAATCTCAGCTGGCATGTCCTAGATCCACAACTCTGCACTATCAAAGCAAAGTTACTGTCCAAGAATAGCGTAAATGGATGTTATGGCAGCCCAAATATAGCAACTGCGAATTTTGCTGCTACTCCTGGACACGCTGACTAAAAAAAAATTAATTAAAAACAAAACAATCACAAACATTTAACCCAGGAAGCTTTCACTTTAATTATTTCAACTTTACTGAAACACGTTTGGCGCGTTTGATGGGATTATCTCACGCGGAAGGATTCGAGAAAAATATGAAAACACACTTTGAAGCACTTTAATAATCACCTAATGATCACAGTGATACATGCCGAATTTATTTTAAAAAGCCAATACTTCAGAGGCTGTCTCGATTAATGGTGTATCTTTTGCTAAAAGTGGTTCGGAGAACGATAAGAACTTAAACAGACTGAAATCCGCACAGACTCTGGCATGAAAACGGAAAAGAGGATAGAAAGCTACTTTGCTTGATGCCCTTGAGTCAACTCGGGGAAACTTTGTCTCCGAAGAAAGTTACACAAGCCAACGCAGGCAAAACGAAGACGAGCATTTTGGTAAAATAACAGCTTGTCTGACATAATACATCGTCTGTGAATACTTACAGGCACACTGTTTACTCGCGTGTAGGTGTTCAGGCTCCACGCTTCCACAGAGCTTTCTGTAAACTGGAGCCTTTCTTCCTGATAAGATGACGCGGGCGATAAAGCCACGCCCCCACGTGTGTAAGCGAGATAAAGCAGCGTAACGGGCTCCATGATATTTATTACACGTGTGATTTCTGCACTTAAAGGGGCGGGTTAACACCACAGTAAGCATGAGCACTGCACACAGTAAAGACAAAGTGGCTATTACTCCATTTCCATAATTAATAGGAAAACTTACGCGTTTTTCTCTTAATTATGACGTTTGACAAATGAAAAGTTTATCATCCTTAACAGGGGCGGGTCCAGAGGGGGTGTGTGCATGGGCTGGCACCACCCCCACTGGAATACAATATATTCTTCTGGTGCCCCCAGATTACTGCTATGGGGTCTTTAAGTGATGATGTGATGAATCCTGCTTCTGTGCACAAACTACTCTGCATTTAATAAGGCTGTTGTGTTTTTAACATGTTTTAGTGCTTGTATCTTGTTATACTTTGCACAGACCCGTTTGAAAACAAAGGGGGATCGCACTTTTCTCATATTGTGGATGGATTATCTCAGTTGTTCTCCCAACTGAAGTTTGGTCCGTTTATAGCATCCTGCCATACGATTGCATTTGCCCCTAACCTTCGGGAACCCTCACATTAACTTTTATCAAGTGGAAGAAGGTTGGCGTTCATCCTCCAGCTTCAGTGTTTGTTATGCTAGCATAGCTGTGTCACTGGCAATCATGTAGCACATTATTATAAACCAGCTAGCCAAACTTCAGTAACCTTACAAACGTCACTGCTGTTTACTTTCGTGTCTTCATTTATGTCAGAAGTGATAGCAGAGATGTACGTCTTAATTTGTTTTGGAAATTCCTCAGTCAGAATATGCTATATTATATTTAGATGGAAACTAGCAAGCTAACTTCCTGCTAACGTTTAACTCCGTTAAATTTCATAAATTTGGTTTTCATGGATGAATGGATGTTAAACTTAATTGTTACACCAGGTAGAGCAGCCACACTGATCATTTTATTACAGATGAAAGAATTTAGACAGTTTTAAACTCTCAGTGATGCCGCAGTGATCGTGTGATCTGCAGCGGAGTTTGGGCCCAGACACGGCTAATGACGTCAGACTTAAACACCAGACAGGGCTACAGAGCTGCAAATCTTAACGTTACTTTAGATTAGGGGTGTCAAATGTAAAATCAGCCAGGACGCCAAGCTGGCCCACTAAATGGCTTAGGAATATATGAAGGAGAGCATGGACTTTGGACTTTTAACTACATATAACTGTAATTTCATAAGTTTAAAATGTATTTTATTTACAGCGTTCTCCACTGATATAGACCTCTGTCATTGCCATTGCTATTCATACTATAACAACTAATCATGTAAGAGATAAACAACTAAATGACAGAAAACTTCCTGTTTTTTCACTATCAACTGTAAAACATTTATGTCACTCTGAAATTGCAGGTTTTTTCTTATTATTTTAATTTGACTTTAAATGAGGATTTAAATAACTTTAGACTGACAGAAAGGGGACTTTCACTGGTTTGGCCCACTAAAGAACAAAATGTGACCCATGATGTGAAATCGTTTTGACATCCCTGCTTTAGATAGTTTAAGCATATTTTGGTGCTGAAGAAATGAGTATTGTTACGTTACTTAAGTTGGATAATGATTTTTATTTCACGAAAAGCTCTTAATACCTGGTTTGTTACATTGCAAAACAGGTAATTACTATAAACAGTGTTTAAACTCTTGTGCAGTACCAGTTTTCACATAATACATTTAGGGGCAGGGTTGCACATGAGCCAAGGAAATGGAGTGGCCAGCCAAAAATGCATTTCTTTTTGTGCCATATATGCAATTATGTTCATAGGTTTATTGACAATGACACATTTTTGTATTTTATTGTCTGCACACCACTTCAGTGGATTGTAAATCAAGCAATCATGATGTGATTTAAGTGCAGACTTAAATTCAATTCAGGGATTTAGCAAGAGTATTACTTTACCTCCTTGTGAATTACATTAATTTTTACTTACAGTGCCCAATTAGCTGAACTTGCATTTGGTAGCTGTTCACTGTAACTCTCAACTTGAGTTCCAAATAAATATCAACGCCACACATATATACACATCCTCCTATCAGAAATGGCAAAATTCAAAGAGTGGCCAAATCATCAGTCTGTTCAATTTAATTTAATTTAATTTATATAGCACCAACTCACAGCATCAGTCACTTTTGTATTGTAAAAAGAAACTCCCATTTAACAGGAAGAAACCTAAATCAATAGGCCTAGAAGATCAAAGCAGAGATTTGCTTGCATGGTTAAGAAAAACGTCTTCGCATCGTTGAAACAAGTTGATAACAAACTTGTGGAGGTAATTTTGTCACTGTCAAAATCTACACTCAATCAATGCTTCAAGAATGGAACTATAGAGAGTTCATAGCACGGTGCAAATCACCGGTACACTCAGAAACAGGAAGGCCAGATAAGATTTTAAAAACATCTAAAAGAGCCAGCCAGGTTCTGGAAAAATGATGGGATGAGAAAACAGTATTTCACAGTAAAAATGCATGATGAAAACATGCTGCCAAAGCAACCCAACATTGTTAAGGGCAAAGAAATTGGATATTCCTCAGTGTCCAAATCAGACACCTGATCTCAATCCAATAGAACATGCTGTTCAATTATTAAGAACAAAACTGAATTTGATATACCTTTACTAGTCCCACCAGGGGAAATTTCATAAGGCTAAATTCAGACCAACAAACAAGCAGAAGCTGAAGGAGGCTGAAGTGAAGGCCCAGCAGAGCATCTCAAGGGGGGAAACACAGCATTTGGTCTTGTTCATGACTTCTGCATGTCAGGCATTCAATTGACTGCAAAGGGTTTTCATCCAAGCATTAAAACAGTGCTCATATTAGTTTGTTCAATTCATTTGGAGCCTTTGGAAATGGGGGATGATTATGTAACCGCAGTAAGGTTGTACTGGATTATGTGGAGCTTCAGGGAAAGAAACAAAGAAAGATACAACAGTGAATCATCAGGATAAATAACAGTAGGAGACATGCTGGGGGCAGAATATAACTAAAGAGCTGCTCTGGATAAAGAATTGACCACTTTGACATGTTACATGGTTTGCTGAAGCAGATAAGATTTAAACAACTCCCAGTTCAACAGTTCCCATTATCAGGGCCCCACTTCCTGAGCCAGTTATGGCAAATGAGCAGGCGCAGTATAATACAGTGATTATACTTCAGTGATTTCTCAGCGTTTCATTTTGTGCCACTGTTAGCTCAAAATTCGACTCTGTACAGTTTAGTGTTAATCAGTTAATACCCCGACAAGTTCTCCAACTTAACAATCATATTGGTTGACTAATGCCCAGATTTCCACTCTGTTTTATTAGGTCGGCCGTGTGACAGACTGGAAACCAGTCCAGGATCTACCTCGCCCTTCATTCTATGACAGGTGGGCACCTAAACTAAAGGTTAGAAACAGATCATAGTTTGGGTTAAAATAGCTTTTTTCAACATTAAAGCATTAGAAATGTCGTTTTTCTAGGATACCAGGGTGTAAAGTCCTCTCCCAACTCAAGGTGAAGACAACAGCACACATTATGAGGGGTTGTTTCCTGGGTGAGGACAGTTTATAATGTCTGACATTTAAGATGTAGATTGTAGATCGTTGTAAACAACTAAACATTAACAGCACACAGCTGAACAGCACCCCGGAAAACACAATAAACACTGCCCTGGTGACTACATGCTAGTCTTGTTGAACGCTATGTTAGGAATACAATGCAGGGGTACGTTTTGAGCACATAGTATGCTCAGTTTCAAGTCTGCTGACTGCTCTTCGTGTTCATTTACAAAACACAGAGAAGCCAACGGCGACAACGCTCAGCTTGAATCTTCGCAGCTAATGTGTGGCGACACAACAGCCTCGGCTATCCTTTATATACAGTCTATGTTCCAGCCTTACAGAAATGCTACTGTAGCTGCGGACTCAATTATAAAAATAATTTTAGGGGCTCATCCCAAACTGCCAGGTCTGCCTGATGAAGGAGTAGTAACAGTATATTAGATAGTGGCGCCTCACATTTTCCCTATTGCTATAAAATCGGAGTATTTGATACACTGGCCTTGGGATTAGAAGAGAAAAGCAAAAGCAAATCTGTGTTTAAAAGCTGCCTGACCGCAGGACACGCACTGTCAACATGACTTCATCATGTCTGCCTTTGCCACTTGCAAAAGGTTGAATCCCCGCGGCTCGCTGTGCTGCATCAGTGCCACCACACACAAACACACAGTCTTTCTCCCTCACCCTCACTCAGCTATGGCCTCTAGTTTGTTTATATCTTTAATATACAAGTATATGATGTTGAGATTTCGTAAATATGTATCGATTACTGGTGAATGCAGGGTATTCTGATCCAGTAGAGTGTTTACACATTTGTTAAAGGAAAAAATAGTACTCTTTTTATGGATTCTAATATTAAAAATTATAGCAAGTGCTACGAATTGCCTTGTCTATGTGGCTAAGTGAATGAAAGCATAGCAAAATTCATCACGAATCAAAAGGGCTTGGATGGGAGATATTGTGGCAGGCGACAAAAGGCAAGGTCACAAAAAGTTTGCCTGCAGGTGGACAGGTACAGCGATGCAATGTTAACATCTGACAAGACCTCAGTGTCCAAGTGCTGCAGGCAGGAAGGTGCTTCTATCAGAGCCATCAGGGGCAGAGGTGTCTCTAGTGCCCTTCACCGGGGATTGGGGTCACACGTTGAGACAGGAGCTGATGTTGCAGTTCTCCTCGCTGTCCTGTTGTGGTTCAGTTACAGGTTTCTCATGCACATTTGCAGTAACACGCTGCAACATTTTACTCTCAGTAAATACACCTTTTGGCTAATTAAAGCTTCGGACACGGCGTTAGCAGTTTTCTGAATTCCTTTTTTAATGCTGTAATAAAAACACAATATCTAATAGAGCTTTAAAAGTAATGCTTTACTGTAATCTGATTATTTTTTTCAAGTCCCCC